GAGTGAGTGAACTATTTGTGGGTGTTAGAACTCAGTGCTTTTGTGCTGAGAATGTCATATAGTTTCCCCTTGGGTTGCCTTAAATCCTCAACCCAATCTCATCTGTTGCCTCTGGCGCTCCCTGGTCATTAGTTTCGTGTGGGGTGTGTGGGATGCCGAGAGGAGACCACAGGGAGCAGTAGAGAGAAGGGAATGGACTATTCTTGGGGGGGAAAGGGGTGTGGGGGATGCGGGAAGAGACTGGACAAAAATCGTACACCTATGGATGAGGACAGTGGGTGGGGAATGAGGGCGGAGGTGGGGCTGGGAACTGGGTGGAGGGGAGTTATGGGGGGAAAAAAGAGGAACAAATGTAATAATCTGAACAATAAAGATTTAATTTAAAAAAAAAAAGAGGGTATGGAGACAGCTCAGTCCGGCAGTTCTCATACTTGCAGTGCTTAGCTGACTTCTAGGACGCCAGTAGAAAGGGATCGTTTTAATCTGGCAAAACCCACAGCCGATCTGGACAGAATTGCTTATTGATGAGCAGCTGTAGCTGTCATTTGCTTTTTCTGAACAGAGACTTTTAAGACTCTCCCTGAGCAGAGGATGCCTTTTTGTTGCATAGAAAGTATTTTTCCAGATGAACTTTTAAAATCAATGACTCTGAACATCAGTGTATATTAGATTCATTAGGGGTGCATGGTAAAATGTCCCACCCCATTCTCAGGGGTTCTGATTCAGTAGGTCTGGGGTGGGAGCCAGGGATCTGCATTTTTAAACAAGCATCCAGTGGCAATTCAGATAGCCATTGGACCACACTCCCCAAAGACTATCTTAGATTTTGTTTCAGTTTCCATTGGCTCACCTTTTGAAATAGCCTCTTTCTGCTACAGTCTGTTTTTTCTTTCTTTTAAAAAAAATCTTGATTGTTGAAAGTATTACATAGGTCCTCCCCCCCACCCCACCCCCATTAACCTTTTCTAGCTCTTCCTATCCCCGCCAATCCCAGGCCCTTACCACACCATTGTCTGTGTCCACGGGTTATGCATATATGCATACAAGTTCATTAGTTGATCTCTTTCCACCCATCCTCCCCTGCCTTCCCTCTGAGCTGCTACAGTCTTTTTTAATCACTTTCTTTATTGCAGGATTTATTAGCATCTCCATGTTTACTACCTGTTTCATTGTCACATCATCCCTGTAACCAGAGAGGAAACCAGAGGTGATTACCTCCATTTTACTGGGGGTAAGGGGGTGGGAGGTGAAATTGAGACATAGAGAGAGGTAGGTCACAATGAGTCAGACACAGTGGTGGGAATTAAAGTCCAGAATTGACGACTCTCAAACCAGGCAATTTTCTGGGGCCTATTTTCTCAGCTTGTGATTTCATATTTAATCATAGTTATTCCTTAGGTGTCCAATTAATTGTGCTTGGGTAAGCAAAGCATATTTGAGTTTTAAACAAAATAGTTTAGTATCAGTGTGCTAATTTTTGCTCAGCATATCGAAGCTTGCCAAAGCGTGATGATGATATGTGTGGAACTGATTTAATGTGCTTCTCTCTGCCCTTGCTTCCTTTATCATTTCTGAAGACTTTTTACATAAAATGTAAGGGACGTATTTCTCTTCCCCAAACCAAGTAGAACCCTCTCTGATCTTCTGACTAGTAAAGTACTAAATCAAAAAGCTTCTTAGTCCTCTGTTTCTCAAACTTGCATAGTATTTGAATCCATTTCTAAAGAAAAAAAAATCTTGCAAGCTCTGTCAACTTAAATTATTTTTATTAGAATGTTACTTAAATTTACAAATAAAAAGTAGAAACATAATGTTCTTTTATTTATAGTTCTTCTTCAACTAAAACATAAAAAATAGATTTACAAATGAAGTACAAATAAGACCACAAAACTAACACTAGGTTGATAGTATAGTCATTTAACACGACAAATGAAGTATTTTGCTGAGACTAAATCATCCCTTGTATTGTGACTAAGGTATTGCCTTTGAAAGTTCAACTTCTTTTGCATCCAAAGTGCCACCAAGCGACCTCTATTTTCTCACTTTTCTGTTAGCACTGCTGGGACAGTACAGTCCCATGATGTCATTTGGCTTTCATTTTGCTCATGAAAATACTACTTTCCTTTCAAATCTACCACTGTTATTTTCTTCTTATCCCAAAACAATAAAAGCAGCACTGAAACACACATAGTAAATGTAGGCATAGAAATCGTGTGGCAACACCAGGTTATACAGCGGTCATTCAAGTAATGCAGAATATGCTATGCGAATCCAAAAGAAATGTCAAAATGAAAACCCCAGAGAATACATCCACAGACTTAATTTTAGAAATACTGTTCAAGTCCATTGGTTCCCAGACTTGCACTACTATCAAACTTCCTATCTATTGTGTTTACTTCCAGGACCCCCACATTTGAAAAAAAAAAGTAGCCTAAATTGCATTTATTAATAATTTTACATTTTTATTAATCCCACTTTAGAGCTTGTGATCACCACATGTAGTTATCACTCCAAGTTGCTTATAGTCCAAAACAAACAGAAAAGACCGGACATTCTAGTAATGCTGTGCTGTCCTCACAAGGGTAAATAGAAACTTTCCATGAAGTTTTGTAAGAAAGAATCCCATGCCCTCACCTCCGCCCCCTGCTGCCTTTGACTCTTGGAGTTCAGGGGAGCTAGCTGAGCCTTTCTTGTACAAGCAGAGTAGCCATTCCATCCAATTTGGAAGGAGTCAAGCTTGCCCTACTTTTGCTTGATTGTTGTACTTCCAAGCATGTTAAAGACCTAAAAAATGGGAGGAAGAAAATACAACAGAAGGCACCATGCCAGTCCAAAACTGAAAAGAAACACAAAAACAAGAGAGCAGCATGTTTTTAACAGCTTGCATGCAGAAAGCGGAAAAAATACTGCCTGGGAGTTGGGACAGCACTGTTCTTTTTCTCTCGCCGCCCTCGTTATTTGTCTGCGGAGCGGGAGCCAGACATACAAGTCTGGAAGGAAGAGGTGGAGGGGTTCTAGTGGGGAAAGGAGGGAAGGAGACCCAGTGGCGCAGGGCCAGGATGAAGTCAGGGGAGGCCCTAAATCTTCTTCCTCCTGGCCTTGGGCATCCCCTTTGGTCCGCCCGAGTCCTAAGAGGTCACACAGCTCAGGTCACCCACCCAGGTAGTTCCCGACCGCTTCAGACCACCACGAGCAGGATCAATCCCTGCCCCTGTTTCCTTCGCCCAGAGAAAGGATGCGGGAGCTTCTTGCGCTTTCCCAGCCTATCTTTCTTCAGGCGTTCACACCTGCAGTTCCCGCACGGGGGGCCGGGCGGAGACCGCCACCAGCAGGCAGCGCCTCAGCTGCTCCACCCGGAGCCGGAGC